GGAGGGAAAAGAAAACTCTTCCTTCCTAAGGTGACAAGTGTTACCCCACTTAAAGTGATTAGAGGAGAGAAAATAACTCTCTCCCCTAGGGTGACATGTGTCCCTCCATTTCAAGTGGCTTAAGGAGGGACAATAGCCCTCCTATTAGAATAAGACAAGTGGCATCCCCTTTATAAATAAGTAGGACACCTCACAAAATTATTAATTAATGCAAATAAAAATTTTTTTAGGGCCTGTTGTTCACTAAACTAGACTGCAGGCCCCTTTCTTTCCTAAATTATTTCAGCCCATCCATAGGATTGACTGGGCTTAAAAAGTTAGGTTGGAAGGAAATCCCCTTTTTTCTTTATCTTTTTTTCTTTAAGTTGTGATTGGGAGTAGCTTAATAACATGCTCCCAATCCAGCAAAATTAAGGACTTAACAACTATATGTAGCATTTCTACTTTGTTTTGAAGTTTTACCATTGAAATTTAAAAGATCCAAAGGTATTGAAGAGAAAAGGCAAAAAAAAATAATAGAAATATATAGATGTTTCTTTCTTTTTTATTTTTTTCCTACTCTCTCTCTTATATTAAATAAACAACAGCTCCACCTTTGTTCTTTTCTCTTGTACTTATCCTCTATCTTAAATTTTATCAAATAAAACTCTAACCTTCTTTAGTTGCTAATATGATATGAAATTGCTTTATAAAATATTTGATATGTTAATATCATTTTTGAAAGTATTGAAAAATATTGTGCTAAATATGTTTGATTTCCTTGTTTTGAGAGGAAATTTAATGTTACTAATAGAGAAAATTGTTATTTTTCTGATTAATATGCAGACTGAATTCTATTTTTTTCATTCATATAAAACTAGAAAACTAAGAAAAACTTCATTTTTATTTTATGGAACTTTTATCACCCAGGCATCGCCTGGGTGGGCCTAGGTGACTACACGACTAGGCATCCCACTACCACCTAGAATCGCCTAGGTGCCTTAACAACTATGACTGCTATCAATCAAATGAAAAACCAGATAACCCAGTGAAGGCATGTTTGCTATTGTTACACCAAATGACACAAGAACAACCAATTATGATATGAAAAAATAGTAATTACCTCAATGATATACTACCTAACTATGACCAGTGTTTTAAAAATGACACAAAGGCTGAACCGTTTTTGGCTGCAGGTCACGGGTCAATGGTTCAACATTTCAGGTCGAACGGGACAGACCATGTCATGTCAGCACAAAGCATACATGTATTATATTAATTAAATAATGTATAATTATATATTTTTTTATCAGCAAAAGAACATAGTTGTTAAGGCAATGCCTAGGCAATAAGGTGCTCAAAAGGGTCACCTCGCTTAATCGCTAAGATATTTTTATACGGTGCTCTTGAATACCTTTATATTCTTAGCTTTTTGAAATTATAATATTAAAAACCAAATCACCCAATGAATGCATGCCTGGGTGATTTGATTTCAATGAGTTGGCATGGTCATAACACTTTGTTGTGACCCTCCATATGTTATGAACACTCTAATAATCAAATTTAATACAAAATCACCTTGTGAGTGCATGGCTAGGTGATTTGGTTCCGATTAGTTCACATGGTCACAACACTTTCTTGTGACCTTCCAATAAAACACAAACATTCTATCAATCAAATGAAATACTAAATCACCCAACGAGTGCATGCCTGTTGTTGCTACCCCAAGTGATACACAAACTAACTGCTATCATATGAAAAAATAGACTATTTCTAGGGTCCATCACCTTAGTAGGAATATCAAGAAATGTGAAGGTAACCTAATATGTTAAGTGATGAGTTCACAAAATCATAACACTTTATTATGGCCTCCAAAAAAACAGACATGCTATAAATCAAAGGATAAACCAAATCACCCAATGAATGCATGCCTGGTTGATTTTGTTTTGATAAGTTCACATAGTCACACCAATTTCTTACGACCATCCAATAAAACATAGACATGCTACTATCAATCAAATGAAGAACCAAATAACCCAGCAAAGGCATGTCTGCTATTGCTACACCAAATGATAGAAGAATCCAATATTATATAAAATAGAGACTACCTCTAGGTTATGCTACCTAACTATGACGATCAAGTAATACCAAGATAGCTAAACATGTAGAGTGATGCCTAGGTGATAAGACGCTCATGGAGAACCGCATCACCTAATTGCCAAGATATTTTTTACACAAGGCTTTTGGATACTTTTATATTCTTAACTTTCTGAGATTATAATAATAAAACAAACATTATTATTTATCAAAAAAAACAAAACAAACATTATTAAACTAAATTATTCAGTTTGAGTTAAAATACTAGTTTCTTTTTATTATTTTTCTTACTTCTTAGAGTTCAATCATGATGTATACTGTCTTGAACCCTCAAAGACTTCAAATCCTGAACTAATAAGCAGGAAGAGCTCAAAATTTTGATTAATCAACAACACACTGATTTTCTTCTTCTTTCATCCTTTTTTTTTATGAGTACTTCTTTCATCCTTTCTTTTCTTTTCTTCTTTTCCTAGGACAAAAATAGAGGCTCAGGTCCTCTATTTTCTGATATTTCTTTCCTTTATTCCTTTTTTCATGAATATGTTGATTTTCTATATTTTAAATGAAGTTTATACATTTTTATGAAGACTATAAACAACTAATAGTGAAAGATGGTTGTTGTTTGCTAATGGAACCTAGGGAATTATCCTAGGTTTCATACCAATCAAAAAAAATTACACTAGGTTTCATGGTTTTTATTCAAAAGAATCCCATCGCCTAGGTGACAAGGTGACCCCCAGAAGTAAATTAATTATATTCTAACATGCATGCACACCTTTAACCTTTTAAAACCTTGCTCCAAAGTTGATGAGCAAGGTTGCTAGTATCCAATCTGATGATACAAGCAGCTTTCAATAAATTCAGATACATGAATTGGAGCAAGGTTGCCAGTATCCAATCTCATAGCAGAAACAACCTTCAGTAAATTCATATACATGAACTGGAGCTGCCAAGGGGCATTTGGGTAGGGGACACCATAGCCTTCCCCCACCCTGGCATCACACCCAATATGGTTGTTTGGTCCATGAGCATCTTCAGTTTTTTTTTTAATCATTAACAGATCTGAGCACCTCTATTAATTAAATGAAAGCAGATTGCATAGAGGTTTACAACAGAACCATTCATTAAACCTACTGCCATGCCCAGCCCATGTCATAGTACAGTCCTTTGCTCCCACAATGGAAGTGCATTCCCCTAAAATAGATTCACCCTTCATCTAGCAAGCTGAAATTCTACAGTACTGGTGGCCCTTCTAACCCATCTGAACAGCGTATTCAGATTACTAGCTAGAAATTTAACTTCCCTAAATGAGTGTCTGTATGTCCGGGGCACCATTCACCCTCCTATCATCACTTTTGAGTCCGCTTCTACTTCAACCTTGTTGGGTTCAGACTTCATAGGAGAGCATAATCTCAGAACTAGAAATACAGCTACAAGTTCTGCCCTTAAAGAGTACTTATTCAGCTTAACTTTGGATGGTGCTCTCTGGGAAATCCGAATCCTTCAGAGTTTGGAGAAGAATTAGGGGCAGTAAAGTTGTGATCCTATTAGCTTGCTCGGACCCCACGAGGATTGGTGACGCAATAAGGATGAAACTCCTTTTCCCACCTAGAAGGCCTTGTTATTGTCTTTGTCACTGGTATTGATCAGATAATAGAGTCATTATGGAGGGGAATGCCCATTTAACCATTGTGTGGATGAGAAGCATATCCTTTTTTTTTATGATAAAGATGAGAAGCATATCTTCAAGCACATGGAGACTAATCATTCCCTTAAAAGGGAAGATCATTGGCTTCCAGAATGAACCACCCACTCCACTAGATTTCAGGATCTACTTACTAAATTATGTATAACCTAGATAGATATGGGGTGAGGGCATTGTGACAAGAATTAGTGAGCATGATACAACATCATCCAGACAAATAATAATGCTCACTAGATACACCATTTCATCTTTGGTTCTCTTTTCTTCTCTTGTACTCAAACATTTCTGGCAATTTGTTTTGAAAACCCAAATACAGTGCTAATAAAGAATAAAATGGCCACCTACATGCCATAAAAGAGAATGAAGAGAAGTGTTATTTTTCATTCAGATTATAACCAATTCAAACTTCCATCCCTAGGGAGATATGGATCCACTTGTAAAAGAGGGAATCAAGCAGGTAAAATAAGGAACTTTTAAAACTTTAGAAGAGAAAATAGAAGCCACATGCCTTCAATAACTGGTTTCCAGCTTCCATTTACCTAACTATGAAAAGTTACAGCACATTAAGTGACTTCCCCCATAGATTTTGTGGGTTTAAGTAGGACGAAGTAAAAATGTTCCACATTTCTACCATAAGGTAATAGAAATTAACTTTATGCTGATAATGTCATAATAATTTCCTTTTCTTTTTGTCATCATCATCCAGGCCTCATCCCAAATTAAATCATTTTTTATAAGCAGCTAAATAATTTACTTAAACCATTGAATATTTGGTATTAGCCAAAACATCATTATAAATTCAAAGCTTTATGACATCAAATCTAGACCAAAAGAATAGAATTTCTTTTCTTTTATTAAGAAACTGTATAAGAGCATAACACTTAGTCATGCTCACTTGTTATGTATGTACAGATAAGCCTAGTTAACCTTTTCCCCCTTGTTTCCAGTTTCTCAATCTAAGTTAATATGGGTATCAAAGGAATTGGAAGTTTAGCATATATATAAGGAGAACAAAAGTCCGTAAAACCAAATCATTCTCATTCTCATTCTCTTCACATTTCAGATAATATGACACACACTAAAATATGTTCAAAGTATTATTCTACATAATATAAAATTAAAAATCTTCATTCTCAAATCTCACAGCAAATGCATATCAACATTGAGTGCATGACAATTCATAAGAAGTAAACAATCTCAACTCGTGAAGATCATGTACCTGGCAATCAGGTTGTCCAACTCTTTCGGGAAGTTCTCCTCTGTATTGAACAGCCTATAAAAACAGAATGGTTATGACTTGTGAGAAAACATGTTGCAGTTTCCAAAAATAAATATTACCAATTGAACACCTCAGCCCAAAACTTCTATGCATCCTACCAATAAATGAAGCCCTAAATGCAGATATTGTCAAACAGCCTCACACTGAGTGACAGATATAGGAGGTATGCCAAAACTGAAGATTCTCAAGACACATCCAAACTGAACAAGTGTAAACTGAAAATATATTCAAGTCCCGTGGATATATTCTTTGCTTATATATATAAAAAAAAAAAAAGATGTCTTTTTACCTGTCCAGCATAAGCAGGATGATTAAAACGGCAATTGCTTCCATAACCACATAACCCTGTCCTTAAATAATATATGCAGTCAGGTTCACCTGGACGATCTGGATAAGGGTTTGAGTGAGCAGCAACAACCTCCTGATTATCATGGGGCTGAATTTTCAAGCGCCGCATGGCATCTGCAAAGGATGAGAATGTACGATCACCATATATTGTAACATTTAGTGCTTCGATCATGAAGGCATTGCATCCATAGCCATAATTGTGAAGAGCAACTGATTCCGACAAAAGTACAGATACAGAAAAAATAGAAAACGTAAAATAACCCAAAATCAACATTAAAAAAAAATTATGAAAGTTAGAGCTTCAAAAATGGACGCATTGTAGCAATAAGCAATAACTTTAAACAAATGAAGTACAATCAAAACGAACAATGTAAGAAATATAAGAATAGCAAACACCAAATAAAATATTAACCCAAATTGAAGGAGCTCCGGTTTTAACATCAAAACATAACAAGATAATTCAGCATAGTCGTGATAGGCATCAAAAGTGGAACAAAAGAATTAAGACAGATCAAATTACCTTCGAGGTTATCGGCCGAGGCATTAGAAGAAGTGGACACAGCATTATTCTGAACCTGCCAATTATCCGGCATCGATAACGAACTAAAACCCTTACTCTAACCAACAGCTACAAGGATTAAATCACCCCAATCCCCTCAAGATAAAAAGGGGGAAATCGTAGAAAAAAAGGAAAGGTGTCAAATCTGTCTCCAAGGAAACAACATTCAATCAATTCCACCCGAAATACTACCAGCTCACCATGACCGATCTGTCATTCAATCAGCAATCCTAAGGCACTCGATGTTAAACAAATTTACACCAATTCTAGCCGGAAAACCACCAGATTAAGGGGGAGAAATCGCAGAATTGCAAATAACTTACTGATATCAATCTATATTCGGTTTATAGACGCTTGGATGACAAATAGAAAAAAACGATCAGTCGATGGATTCCCGTTTCCCTTTTTTTTTCGCTTTATTTCGGATTCAAAGTAGAGAAAATTGGGGATCTTTTTTGCGTCTTTTATTATTTTTAGAGAGAGAAAGAAAAGGGAGGGCCCGAAATATGAAAAAGGGTCTCTTTTTCCCTTCCTCCTATTTCTAGTTTTGAGCACCTACACATTTATTTCCAATTTTTTTTTGTTTTTAATTACTTTCATCAATCACAGTTTCTTTAAAATCCAAATTATTATTATTATTATTATGGAAAGAATAATCGTCACCGTAAATAAGCGCGAAACCGTTGAGTGGTGTTTGGCCGTTGGATGCAAGCAACAGTGGGACCCAGGGAAACCAAAGCCACTCTCATAATCCACGGGGCCGACGGGTTGCTCTGCTATTCGCGCCTCGAGGGCAAGTGGGTCCCTCCATTCCACCGCTCTTTTGCGGATATATTCCCCGGCGATTTATGCGCCTGCGGTCTCCCGAGCACCTTCCTGCCTCTCGGCGCCCGGAAGAAGTGCGGGAGACGAAATGACGCCTTTTTTTATTTTTCAAAACTTCCCTTCTAATTCTCGCGAATTCGGACTTCGTCCTCACACCGTCTCCTTTGCAGTTGAAAACATCTCCAGATTTGTATTATGGATAAATTGCTGAAATTTTTCTTGAAGTTTCTGATTGATTGTTGCTAAAACTTTTTTTGAAATTTGATAATTGCAATCACCTCTGGCATAGTTGAATTAAACACGATGATATCCAAAATATCCATACAATTACTTTTAACCAAAGTATTTATTTTCCAAACTTTCTCTTGATATGAATGCTAGCTCAAACCATTTTAATCTCCTTTATGAAAATTGATTTATTTTTCAAATTTGCCCCTCATATCAATTGGTCAAAGGGAAAGTTTGGACTTTGAATTCTCTTTTTTTTGTTTATAAAATGTATTATTTTTTTATGTAAAATCTAGCCTCAATAGTAATTATGAGTATTTTGGACATTTTTATGTCTCTTGTTAGAGAATTCTATCCTACTTGCAACTATGTCAGAAAATTCAAGGGAATGATTAAAATTACTAAATTTCATGGGATGTTTCAACAACCGTCAGATATTTCAGGGGTGGTTTCAGCAATTTACCATTGTGTTTTTTTTTTATATATTTAGGGGATATATTCTCAATGAACACCTAATCACCTGTGAAGATTTGTGACCATGAAATCCAAATTCAACTTTAGCTTCTTGTCTAATTCAGCTCAAAGCCCTTGTGTGGATGTGAGACTTACCATGTCTATTTGATAGATTTTCAGGGACCATTTGACAATGGCCGAATTGAAATCTCTTCCCGTTTTAGACCAACACTGAAAATTTCTTTTAAGAACACAAGAAACAAAAAGGTAAATCACAAATTGTTACCCTATACTTGTGGGGCATTTACACTTATCACCTCAAACCTTGTTTTGTGGTTGGCAGAGAAGATAAAATTACAAAATTGCTCATTTAGGAAACAATGGACTAATAGGTTAAGTGGAAAAAAGATATCTACTAAACGCATAATATATTTTTTTGCGATTGGGTTAGTATGCTTCTAAGCCCTGGATGATAAAGATTCTTTCTTTCTTTGGGAAGGATTTGAAAGCACAACAACCCAATCAAAAATAGATATTATGCTTTAACCACTAACCAGCCCATTTTCATCATTCTAATAATTAAATCTTAAATGGATAATTTAGTAATTTTATCTTCACCGTCAACCCCCGTTAAAGGAATTGGGGGGAATGCTAAAATCCAGGACCAGGAGTAAAAAGGAGCCGGTCAGCAAAACAAAGTTCGGGACTTCTGGGAGCTAAGGATCACCACCCCTGAGTCCCTGACAATCCGTAATTCACCCTAAAAACAACAAATTTGTTGGCCCAGCTGATCGGACCGGTTGAATGAAGTCTCCCAACCTGATGACATGTTGACCCGTTTCTTTGAACCGTTAACTGACCCAACTCACCTTGACCGTTCACTCTAACCACTTGATTCTTGATCTCTTCTCGTTTCTTGCTGACCATCCATCCATCAAAGGTAGTAAATACAGTGGCGACAGGTGACAGCCTGACAGGTGAGGCAGCAATGAGCAACCTCTCCTCACCTTAAACACAAACAGCGACCAGCAGCAAGCAGTCACCTCTCTGCTGGTTCCCTTCTCACCAAGGGTAATTATGAACAGTCAATGGGCCCATGTTCAGCCCACTCCAATGGATTCAGTTCTCACAAAACCGTCATTATATTGTATTAACGAGTTAAGATATGCGCCCCACAACGTACCACAGCACATACCGTCGTATATTGAGAATATTTTCCGATAATGACATCATTGGTTTTAGTACTGTTATCAGGAGATATTTTCAAGACACTATGGGTATGTGCTGTGGGACGTTGTGGGGTGCCCCCTTATGGGGCTCAGATATGAATTCTGTATTCACAGTCTTTTACAATTATGCATTGAAAATATCTCTGTATTTGTATATTTTTATTCATGGAAAGATATTCCTAATGTACAGCTACAAGTGACAGTAAGCACATGCAAGGACAGTTCTGTGATAACCGAATCCAAATTCTCTTCATTCATGTTAGAGTGTTAAAACATTTGTATGTACAAACATACTTGGAGGCATAGGCGGTCAGGGATCGAGGTCAGTAACCTGCCTAAACCATAGAGAGATGATTTGGTTTGGGTTAGAATTGCTTCGGGTCGGGTTCATATTGAGGCAGACAGTTCTGAATCCAACCTACTGAATTCTTAAGACTGTTTGGAATGATGGCTGTGATTGGAAATGATGCAAATATGTAGGGTGTAAAACGGTTCATATAAATTACAAAATTGGATTAGTTTTGTATTGACAAAATTATCTTATTACCAAACAGACTTTTAGTTGTAATAGATGCAAACATGAATTCCAATAAAGCATATGCTTTATTTTTTATCAAAAGCCCATTTGAATGCAAATTTACTTCTTTTTTATTGATGTACATTTACATCTTATTAACAATGTAAATATACATTGGTCTGTCATTTATCAATGGTTAAATGTAATATTGCCAAACACAGGCAAAAGTGAACTAGAATACAAATTTACCCTGAGATTTACACTCCATTTGCATCGTTTCCAAACATAGCCTTTTACATATGCTGTCATTTTTGTGAAAGGTATATAAACCATGTAATGTGTCGCCACTGCCACTGCCACCAGGGAATTAACTATCTCACCCCCCACCTATTATTGTGTAGACTTTTTATTTTGGTATTTAACACAAGAAATTATTAACTCTCAAAGGTAGGTCCGTAGGTGGTAATAGCGTAACTCGGTTCCGCATGGAGTACCCGGTTAACATACCAATTGAGCAACCACTAATGAAGGCAAGAAAAAAAGAAACTATTGGTTGAATACATACATCATGGGTTAACCGATTTGCACTGCATGATTGAACCACTAAACTACCATGTGCTTAACATCAATCAAGAAAAATAGAAAAAACAATATATGTGCAAAAATAAAACATTTATAGCAAAATGCAGGGCATGATTAACAGAGTTCAGATTGACATTGTACTGAAAGACATTTTCAATATAAGGTTAGAATGTGCTATGAGGTGTATGTAGGGTGATCTTCACAGAATTGGGACCTGGTCCTCACAGAGCATTCCTCATACCAACTTCACAACCACATCACACCATGTATAGAGGACATTTCCCATAAATAATAATATAATAATGAGAAATATTCCTGATGTAGGGCTAAAAGATGCTGTGAGGAGCAGATCCAGACTCTACTCCACAGAGTACCATGCAAATTCATTAGCAGAAGCAACCCTGATAAAACACCAACCAAAGAGAGTTCGGCTTCAGTCAGAGAGTCCATTTGAACAGCCTTTACTGCCTTGCATTTATTTCCCTACTAATGTGTTTTATTTAAAGGGGAGATATTCCCAATACAAAGTTAGAAAAGACTGTTAGATCTGTGTGGGTACAGGTTTTGCCCTAATGGAAGCCGATCTCAACCAAAGAAGGGTCAGTCATGAGATGAACGGATTCGAGGACTAGTAGACTAGAAGAATAACGTGCGCCATTAGAATTATTATAGCGTCAAAAAGACGGTAGTATATAATTCTTCCACAACATCAAGGTTGATACTTTATTTATGAATTACCTGTCACCATACACGTGGCCCAATTGAACTTGGTCTTGTAATAACGCATCAAATGATCCCATCTTCAAGATTTAAAAACATTCAAACATCTTTTCTTTTTTTCTTTAATCCCAATCAGCAGGAGCATTAGACATCTCCCTTTTTAAGTCCAAACGAATAAAATAAATCAGTCATGATGTTGATTTGATTAGCCACATCAGAAACGGGTTGTCTGTGTAAAGGAGGGCAAAAGTCGTATTTGTTTATGCCAATTTATACAGAAATATAAAACACGAACGCATGATCTAGAAGACTAGAATTTCGCGTAAGAATAGGGCATTTGGCCTAGCGTTATTTGAGTTTAGACCCTTGTTTCTTCGCATTAATTTAGTCCAGAAAATCTTTGTGAGACCTTTGGTGGGTTCCTTATAGTTTGTGGAAAGATTCGAGTGGGATGGTGTAAAAATTTATATTTTCATTGTTTGGTTTATATGGGAAAATAGTAGAAAAAATACTGAGAGAGATAGGAGTGCTATTAAAGCAGATCACCACTGCCAAGAGTTGCAGCGTCAATCAGAGAAAGAAGGAAATTCAAAGGGATGAAGAAAACGGTGATCAGAGAAAGAAGCAGATCACCACGACTTGGTTCTCTTGCCACCGCCGCCTCCACTGTTCAAACAGGGAATGCAATGAACAGTATTTGGTTCGTCGCCGCTGTCAAAAGGAATGGGGACCGTTTGCCGTCATTGCTGGTTTGTCACTGTTGTCCATCGCCGCTGGTCCGTGGTAAGGAGACTCTTCATCGCTCTTTTGTCGCCGCTATCAAAAGGAAGGGGGTAGGGGTGGCAATGAGCCAAGCTTTTCACGAGCTATTCGAGCTCGGCTCGACTCGATTTCAACCGAGCTCGAGCCCAATTCATTGGTTCGATTATTAAATGAGCAGAGCTCGAGCCTACTAGAGCTTGACTCGTGAGGTTCACGAGCCGACTCGTATATATATATATATATTTGATATTTCATATATAATATATAATAAAAATATTATAATTATTAATTATTATAGTTCTTAATTTTTTAAATATAAAATAAAAAAAATTATATATAATTTTTTTTTATAAAATCTTTTTTCTAAATGTTTTTATAAAATATAAAACGAGCCGAGCTCGAGCTCAAAGTTTTGGCTCGAATCGAGCTCGAGACTATGCCTTGTAGAATAGTCTCAAGCCGAACTCGAGCCTGGTACTATTCGACTCGGCTCGGCTCGGCTCGAATCCACCCCTAGAAGGGGGCCTGTTCGCCGTCGTCGTTGGTTCGTCGCCTTACTCCAGTTGAAGAAGAAGGCACATCCCCCTTCCTCAAACGATTGAAAAAAACTCGAGTTTTTCCACCGGAGTTGCACTATTTTGGTGCAACCCCGATTACACAATTTTGGAATCCCGCATCCCATGTTTTTCTCATCCCATTCCCCTATTTCTCTCAAAACAAATAAGAGAAAAAAAAATATTTTTCTTTTTTCTCTTCCTCGTCCCAAAAACCAAATAGAGCCTTAAAGAGCTGGGCTTGACACACTTGAGGACCAGCATCGCTTGGACCTTGGGACCGATTTATTTCCTAAGACTTCTCAGAAGTCAGAACTGAGATAAAGTTTCGCGTTTTTCCCTGAAAAAAGCTAATAAACCAAGACCAATTGTTAACTATTGTAATTAAGGCTGTGTTTGTTTGTAAAAGTCCACTAATGGAGTTTTATATTGAACCGTTTGAAATCTCTAAACCATTGAGCATTGAAAAGCATGTTTATTGATATAAAAGCTCACTATAAATGACATTTTACATTGATTTACGACATAAAACTCTACTCCATCCAAACGCTGACAATTCTGATCCAGTAGTGACGTTTTACATCAAAATCTTGATTTACACTACAAACAATAAAACAAACACCTACACCACAAACAAAAGAGCCTAAAGGAAAAAAGAATGGGCTATTTAGACAAGACTGAGCCAAAAGGAGGGCACAATGACTGCAATGAAAACTTATGGAGAATATCAGTTAAGTCTCATTTCAACTTTTAGGAATACAGCACATTTAAGAGATTCCCATGATTTGCACGTTTGAGATGAAAGAAATGCCCACCCATCTAACAACTCGAACGCTGTCGGAATCAACTAAGAAATAACAAAGAACAGATGCTGAGTACAGTACTCTGGCATTGTCCATCACCGAGGCCCAGGACAACCCAGATCGCCACCGACATTACTTCGCTTCACCTAATTTAGAGTTTTCTACAAATAGAAGTGAACAAGTATAAACGGTTTGGTTGGATGGAAAAGAAACAATGTTAGAAAAGGTTTTCCTGCAAATAAATTTTTGGACCACCTCTCAGAAAATTGGTTTCTTGTTTGGGTGGATATAAGAAAAATAACTAGGGAAATATTTTCTATTATTTGCAGTGAGCCAGTGACCACCGGTAGAAGACATCAGTGAATAATCTCAACAGCAAATTAGATGGCAGGAGGGAAGAAGTAGAAGACTTAAGTTGGGGCTCGGACTCAACACCTTACATATAAATATGCTGCTTTTCCCACATAAACCATATTGATGCTTGAAAAGAATGAAACCATTTGCCAACGAAGGACAAGTGCATTAGGATGTAGAAGAAATTTAATTTCTTGCTAGAATAAGAAAGATACCATTTTGCCTGGAAACCAATTTCTGAAATTTGGTTTTCCACCCAACCAAAGCCAAAACATAATAATATAATCTGTCTGCTCAATGGTGGGGGGACAGGATGGCATTAACCACATTGTACAATAGAAATATTCGAAGTGTATCAGTCTTGCAGGAGAATCAGTAACTACCAAATTTTCTCAGATATCGAATATGTTCTAAGCAGCTCTGGTCAAAAAAAGGAAAAAAAACAGCACGCACATCATTCAGTCTACAAAATCTCCTAGAAGAAACAAATCTAATGTCACAACTAGTACATCTAAAATATGTATCCAGAAAATTTTATAGTCAGTTTTGATTTCCATTTCAATAGCACTCAGTAAAGGATTTTATTTCGCAGTTACAGAGAATGAACACACAACATTATGGAAACATAAACCATGTATGAGATGCAACCAAAAGTAAGACCAACAACTGATAGATATGGTAGCTGATAAATGATATATATTTAAAGTGAGTTCTAAAATACATCCCAAACCTTCCAACTATCATTTGTTCCCTCCTTTACAAAACTTAGATCAAAATGGAAGAAAAAATTTCAGGTTCCAAGAGTAAAACCCCATGAACAGGGAATATTTCTTAAGTTATGCACATCTTTCCATATAGTCACACCCGTATTCCAACAGGTAATGGCACCCAAAATTGACACTTGGGTGGCCTGTATTCTATACAGCCCAAGTATGTACACATCCTCAACTTATCAAATTCCAGGTATCCACAAAAAGCTGAGTCTATGCTTTCATAGTGTTAACAGAAGAACATAGAACTCCTGACCTTCTCGTGCAACTTTGGAAGCTCTGGAACCAAGAAACTCACTGCTGAGGTGATACCTCCATGGCTGGAGGAAGAATCTGAAGAATCATCAAATTTCATGAACTGCCCCATTTGTTGTGCAGCAAGGTGTGCATAGCAGATTGGTGCAACTGAAGGGAACAAATGTAAAAAGGAGATGATTGAAGTAACATGTGAAAATAATAAACATGGCAATAGAGAAAGTCTGGCAGATTTGAAATGAAAATAAAATGGCAAAGACAATGATCACAGCAATGGAGCAGAGAGCCAGAGGTTATAAGCAACCATACTGGATTCAATCTGCCCAAGCTGAAGATATATAATGCTCTAGCAATAGGTATCATATGAAATGAAAAACTTACCAATAGAGACTGCCGTCGTACTCCTCTGGTACCTAAATTAAGTCAAGAATCAATAGTTAGACCATTAGCAGGGGCCTCAAAACTGCAAACTACATAGGAGAGGATGGGTCTTACACATAGGAGAGTGAGTGAACAAGCTTTTGCAGGTCATCAGCAGAGAAACCAATTTCATCAAGTAAGACATGATAGTGAGCAGGCCTGGATGTTCCCTGTAATTGCAAATAATGAAAACATGAGTTACAGAGCACAAAAAATCGAGGAGCATATATACATGGGTGGAAAAGCAAAAGAACAAATTTAGTAGACCAAGAAGATGAAACACCAAATTGTGAAAAGATAGCACCACTGCATACACGTGGCATGTGGAATCAAATCCATGGAATTCCTTCAGGAACACTAATAATTAACAATAGCTCATTAAACATCATATGGACATCTTATGTGTACATAGGACACTGACAATCATCCATCACAGATGACCCTGACAGGCATTTAATGTTTTAAAACATGGTTTGACGTGAGGTGTTCCACCACCAGATGCGAGGGGTTGTTCAGAACAAATGAGACATATTGTTTAGAACAAAAGGAAGCATAAGCCTCCTCAAGAGGAGGGAGTTATCTTTTTCTTTTCTTTACTTTAATCCTTTTTTTTCTTTCTTCCTTTTCTATCTTTTCTTTCTTCATTTCTGAATGAGGCATACAAGAAGTGCACACCTCATGCAAACAGCGTTTGAGGCATATGACTCAAGCACCTGAGCATTTGCCTCAGGGTGTTTTGATTGTTCTGCTGCCCTCACCTGGAGGCACACCACCATGCTTACACCTCAATGACTTTATAAACATTGCTTGAGATCTTCTATGCAAGGGGAAAAGGATTTGGATAGAGAATTATATATACATATATATATATATATATATATATATATATTATCAAAAAAATAAAGAAACTTACTATCCTTCCTGCATGAGCACACATGTAGAAGTCATAATTTCTTGGATGCACAACTTTTGTATCAACCACTGTTCCTGTATAGAAACAAAAAGAAAAAATAGAAAAAAAAAATCCTTCATTACACCTAGCATTATGCAACACTACAACATCTTTTACGTTTAGATTCTTCAACTGCTTCACAGTAATATTTGGGAATTTTATGCTCCAAAACAATTCAGATTTATTATGCCCTCTTTTGCAGTGAAATTTTATATACAATTCTTTTTACATGGGAGAAGTGAAGCCTTGGGAAATAACAATATAAACAAAGACAAACCTGGTGGAACATTATCAGGGGCACCATCTAGGAACAGCTTAGTGTGGTGATTCTTTTGTGCCACAATAACTGTGAACTTTGGAAATGTGGTTTCACCCAGGTGCTCCAATGCCTGCTAGACCAGAAGTAAAAATTAACAAACAAAAATTTTAGCGAACCAAGGGAAACCTAAGCTCCCCAGTTAGTTTAGCTAGAAAACAAGTAGGAATTTGCAGGAACCAGAACCTTAATGATTTGCTCCAGTTCTATGTTCAAAACTTGGTTAAACTGTGATTCACTCACTCCATCCCTAAAACCACAAACACGATTGCAGAATCAGAGAAACCAGATGCTTAAGAAAGAAAACTAGGATTTAGTGATCACAGAAAGCAAAAGATTTACCATTGAACCACTAAAAATTTATTTCACCACACTAGAAAAGCCACAAGATAAAAAAAAGACACATTATAAAAGGAAATGCAATTAGAGAAAAAAAAGAAAAACATAAGATGCTTTTTGATGGGATCATGGTAATCACACTAGACTTCCAGCTGAGACATTTCCTTCTTATATGGATAGGTACAGAACACTAATAGATGCAGTAAAGATGATTCACAAGTACCTTCAGTCATGACAGCAACAAAAAGAAACTAAATAAAAGAAGGGTGAGAAGGATTAATTTGTTAGCTTTCTTGGTCTGGTGTATGTACCAAGAGGTGTTTCAGAAATCCAATACCCAACTAACCACCCTACACTACATCTTTTAAACAAAAGAGCAGCTTTATTTGATCAATCTAGTGGCAAAATTAAATCTCTTGTAAACAGGAAAACATTTTTAGAATTATGTATCCACTTAGTCCCTCTCTCTAAGCATGAGCTGTTTAGAACCAACCAATGAAAGGGGGAAAAATTTATGTTTGTCTACAAAGATCTTCAATCAAATTACCAGATTTGTAATTCATTGGCATCAGTCAATAGGACTTTAGGAGTCCATGCGTAAAAGTTCAAATAGCCTTTACTTGTTCTGATGTTCTATAATACCTACATACCTGTAAAAGCATTCAGTATTGTGTTGGATACTTCAAGTTTTAGGTGTGAATTCCATATCCAATACCATATCCAGCCATGCCATACCCCCCAGGTATCATAGACAGAAGAAAGCTATAGCATGAGTGACAAAATGCACATTTATGTGATTAAAGGAAGAATAAAAAATATGTTCAACAAAAATGTAGATCTAGATTTTGCTATCTTACAAGTATCCACTGAATCCAATCAAGTTGTCATCATTATCTTTTACAAAAAGAAAGCAATACAGAGACAAAAAGAAAAACATGCAATTGACATTAATGCAATCCAAACAATGATTGCGATCTTAAGAACATATCATCTTAAGAAACATTAAATAAAAGGATTATAACATACCTAAATATGATGATCTGTCCAGGCTTCCGTGAATTACTTGTCTGGTAGAAGTCAATCAATAGCTCTCTGCAACCCAAGAAAATAATACATCATAGTAAGTAATTTGTTCAGAATGTATAATAGTCATACAGGAAGGTTATTATACATCATCCTTCCCTGCTGAAATTAAATTACAAAATATTCATGGCTTATGGAAACAATTGCAAAAGAAATACCTCATGATGCCATCATCCTCTCCACTCTCTACAGGTTTGTACAAAGAATCAATCATCTCCACTTTAGGTGATTGTGTTCTCACAGATGCCCTGTACCTTGAAATTAAGGGCCACGATCTCGAGCCAACAACCTAAGAAGTGCGAAATATTAAGGATGATTGCAAATTTAATATCAAAAAAACCAACAAATAACAAGATACCAAAATGTAATGTCATATTAGGAATACCGCAGCTACGGAAGGTACATCTGATTGGCCTGGAGACCCATGGGAAACATCCATTCCCAGGATCATCGTAGGAGTTTCCTTTATAAATGGAATACATGGTGAATGCTCAACTGCTAACAGAGAATTTGTACCTCCAAGCTATGAAAGGAAGATAACAAAAAAATAAGAGGAAAGAAAAAGATAATTTCAAATTTCAAAGTACAAAAGGAAAAGAATTATAAATTAGATTGTATGCAGAACTTTTCATCCCAATCTAATGGCTCACCTTGGCATTGATTTTTAGAAGTACATTTGTGAGATACTGGTCATTGATCTTTGTGGGGGAGATACATTGTGTGACAATTCCCAGTTCATGAAGGTTTTTCTTCTTCCAAGGCCCTTGAAAATGGAAACAAGTATTAAATGAACATCAAAAAAGAAACACAAAACCACAAAACATACAAAAACACTACCATAGATATCTGAAATTTTCCGCTCTGGCAAGACACAAAGCAGAAATTCAGGGGGCCCAGGAAGCTTAGACCTTAACAGTTCAAACATCTTTTCAACTCTTGTGATGGGCCCAGCCCTCCTCCACTGATGATCTTCTTCAATTAATGTAAAAGGTCGTTCAATATGCTGTATAGAAAGTATTCATCAAAAAAAAATATGCTGTATAGAAAGAAAAAATATATACACTATAATGAAAATGGTTTTGGCATGGCAATGAAACTTGAAAGAGAGATTCCACGTAGGCCATTACATACAATTCCTTTATTTCTTCCACAGTTAATAAGCTCACGAGAGAGATAGCTTATATCACACCGAGCAGAAAAGTTGACAATTGCCCAGCGTTCAATTCTAATTGGGGAAAATAGTTTCTGCAAACAAAAATGAATTCAGATAAGATATACTGTTAGAACTATATGGTACATAAGTCCCTTAGAAAATGCACTACCTTGTTATTAAAGTTCCATCTCCCATTATGAGGGTTGCAATTTTCATTGTTACCAACTTTTAGCTGGATAATCCAATAGAACAAAAGTAAGGTCAATTAAGAGATATGTCACAATGAAAGCAATAAGAGTTTAAACCACTGAAAAGGAGTAAGAAATATACTGTTGGTGCATTAAGTATGCGACCTTCAACTTGAGTCAGGTGTTTCTCAATAGAAATACCACAAGCAGAAAGAATTGGATCTTCATCAAATTTAAAGTTACTCATAGCCTGCCAAATTCAGATAATGATGATGATAAACAATTTATGACAATGATGAATGCATTGGAGTATCCATAAAACTTACACCAGTCACAATATCTATGCGCTCCTGAGGCTTTTGTCTTGACTTTTCAACTAAGGAAGATCTCTGCATGGTAGATAGTGCTTTGGTATAACGTTGCAATGACACGAGCGAACAGAGCTATACAAAAAGAATCAAGGATCAGAGGCATAAGTAATAAGATATTACTTAAATCTATATAAAACAAGAATCTTTGCTTATGCGGGTCAGAAAAGAAACTTTCCCTTACCTCAAGTGGAAGATAATTGGGTCGCTTTGGTCTACCAACATTAAGGCAGGGCAAGTATGCAGAATACGTTAATTCTATTTTACGATGATGGACAAAATAATCATACACAGTGACCTCTATAGTTTTTCCTTCACCATCAGCACCTTCTCCATTTTTCACTTTAAGTGAAAAACTATAAAAGAAAAAAAAAAAAAAAACATGGATCAAGATCAGGAGTTTGATCTACTAATTGTAGAGACCAGAACCATCCACAGTGATCAAATTATCAACCACCACATCTAGTTTAAGATAAGTCAGTGAAAATTATGATGACAATATGCAACATACTATTGCTCATTGCACGTTTTCTCGCTCACTCCTATGATCTTGAATTCCATGTTGTTGTGCATTGCCTTTACCCTCAAATTTTTTAGCATTTTTTTGGCCTGCACATCTCCAGAATCCAGATAGTGAATGATGACAATATACATGTAGAATTTATGTAGAAATTTGAAAAAAAAGGCATATGATCCACATACTTGGTCCCACTTAATATGTCTTGGGTCTCTAACATTCTGGTTGGCAAGTAAAAAGTCTATAACAGGCCCAGGAGTTAATATCATTGTTGTTGACACATCTTCACAAAACAATGAGGGCAAGATCAGTATTAGCAATAAGAAAGAAGATTTATTAAAAAAGATTATGAACATAAGTAATAAAGAAGTACCCATATTCAATGACAATCCACTCTGTGTGGTACGGAAACTTGAATGAAAACCTTTGCAGCCAGTAATCCCACCTCCTAAGTCAGTGAAATTCCTCACATCATCATGGAAAAATGACTGTCTGACAAGTAGGCATCCTCTGTGTTGAACAGCCATGGTTAGAATTGTAAGAGCTAGAACAATAAAAAAAGAACTAAAAAAATAAAAACTGACTTACCTGCTAGCTGCTTGCTGCCTCAAGATAATATCAAGCACTCTCAATGCATCTTGAGTGTTGTCAACCTCATTTCCTTTCAGAGCTGAAGCAATGGATTTCATGGGAATTTTTGCAGAAAAACTGATCTCTACTTTAAATAATTTTGATTGATAAGACTGCCTTGACCGCTTACGGTCACCCTCAGTGGGGCTCCCATTGCTGTTTTAAATTAAGAGAATGATGAACTTCCAAAGGACTACAAATTTACAAAGGTAACCATAATAACAAGGGGGGAGGGATATCAAACCGTTTGAAAGATGATTCTTCAAGCACCACTGTGAATTCAAAGTTGTTTTGGGGAAGAGAGCCCACAGTGTATAAGCTTTTTTCTCCATCATAAGCAAATGTCTTCCCTTCAAACTCAGAAGCATATGTTTGGTAAAGTTTATCAATTACTTTTCTCCCAATCCCCTTGCCTTCAACAGCTCGCTTATCATCAGAGATAATGGAAACCTTCAAAAGAACGGACTAATAAGTATAAAAAATAACTGCACAAAAAAAACACACCAAATCAATCCAAAGAGAAGAAAAAAGGACTATAGTAAACATACACTATATTGAAAGAAAATCCCATCCATAGCACCAAAAGTAACTTTGAAGTGATTTGTAAGCAATGAAATACGCCTTCCCTCTTTTCCAAAACCAGACCTTCTTATTGGCAAACACTTTGGAGTCTCAAGTCTCTCTGGTTTCACACCAGATGGTATAGCTGGAGGTGGGGGCGGCAATATATCCATGGCTGGTGGTTTCTCCATCCCTTAAATCAACACACATAACACCTTCAACGTATCAAAAAATGTGCATTTAAAGTCAATCATTTTAACTAGAGAAGGGACTCATTTTCTTTTTTTTTATCGTAACCCATTATCAATTCCAAAAGTGATAATTGAAGACCTTTTTACATGTCAATTTCATCAAATAATAAGCAATCCAGAATTCCTAAGGAACTTGTGTAAGAAAACAGAGAAATTTTGTTGATAAATAGGTAGAAAAGAAACGTTGTATACAGAACAGAAGGATGTCTCTTAAAGAAATGACAAAACAATTTGGCTAGTATCAACTACATAATTGAAAATAAGAAATAAATTAGAAATAAAATGTTTTAGGAACACACAAATCCTTTGAGTTAACTTAGGCAACACAATTGCAGAGAAGAAAGAAAGACAAACTTTCTTTAAGATAGGAAACGGTAACTTTCATTAGATAAAAGTGTAATAAATAATGACTGATGACGGTGGTAAACTAGAAGAAACATAACAGAATACAAAAAAGATATGAAACAAAAAGAAAGAAAAAGGAGGTGGGGTAGCAAAAATCCGGTGAATAAATGAAGCAATAGTAGACTATCAACAATACATGATCAAGATTTTCATGGTGCCAGGTGAGAATTTTCCAGCAACAAGCATAGACAAAAACTGTAGTCAGTAGAAGTAGCTACAAAGAAACGCTATCAGAACATATGCATATGAAAAATTGTCATGTAGTAATGAAAATCTATGGAACTTGAACAGAAAGCACACAATGGATTGTTTGGTATAGTGGCGTTGTGTTGACGTTGCGTTTTGGGTTCATCAATACAAAATATGTCGTTACATCCCGTCATTTCAACTAGAAAAATGCGTGTGGAGAAATATCAAATTTAGCATTTTAGGTGGAAATAGCAATTTGTATTGTATCAACTCAAAACGTTTTCAAAACATTTCAAATGAAAATAAACAGAGCTCTCGCTCAAAAATTTATATTGATCAACCTAAAACACAATGGCAACGCAACGTCACTGTACACTTCCAAAGAAGTTCGCCGTATTACGGGTCGAAGAATTTAGAACAATAACATCATATAACCAGAACTAGATGAATTAGCCTAAACTACAGCAAAATACCACTTACAACCAAAGCAGAAAAAAGAGATAATGGAGATGAAATATCTCACGTGAAAAGGCCAATGAAAGGATAAAAAACAAACGGAAGGCGAATCTAAGAACCAGATAAACATCCAATACAGCGAATCTCATTGAAAAAGGCATACAGAGATTGAATACAAAGAGGAAGCTCTTGACAGAATACACACATAAAACCAAGATCTTCAATACCAAACACAAATAGAATAAAACAAGTGTAAAATCGAAAAGGGACTCCAATGATGTAACGAAGCGTCATACAAGACGATATTTCTCGGAGAACGCCCAAGTAAAGTCGCAATGACTACACCAAAAACAACGAAACCACCACTAAAAACTCCCAAGTAAACATTGAAAAGAAAAAACAAAACAATGCCGAGACGTATAAAGGAGTTTCATGATGTTTCCATTAATACTTCTCGAAAAAGAAATAGAAGAAGATCAAAATACTGCAATCATAGCTAATTCAGTGAAACAGAAGCAATGGAAAAGGAGAGCATTCCCTCCATGAGAAATCCTTACCCGAAACGACAAACGAGAGAGCAAGTTTGTTTTACTTCGAGCCGGCGTTTCCCCTGAATTCGAAACAGAGAAAGAGAGTAATGGAGGGAAGTGGGAAAGACGGAGAGGGGAAGAAGAAGCGGAATACTTGCTTAGTGATTACGTTTTGTTTATTTATATATAACCAATGAAAAGTTAATAAATATTCAGTGGTTAAATCAGTTTATGAATTGTCTCTGGATTATCGATCTAAATCGTTCATCTGGTGCGAGAAAATATGTAACAAAAATGAACGACTAAGATAAAGAGTTGGGACAAGGTGAGCTTATGATGATATGGGTAAAGAATTAAGGGCTTCCCTCTCTTTTTTTTAGGTATGGAAAGATTAACTTGAAATTATTAGTAATAATTAGAGAATTGAAAAAGATCATAGTTTCCTTTTGGCGTATGTATCTCCTTTTATTGAGTTTGGCTCATGATAGGTAACTGGACTTCCGGTTTATGGCGGACTGTCTCGAAGGGTTGAGCCGAAGATTTGGCATCCTGCCCCCTCCTAATCTTTTAGTAGTTCTCTTAAATCGCATCCTTTATGTAGATTTGGTATCGATCCACGATTATGATTCATTTTATATATACGATCCTTCTCTTAGATTTGTCATCGACCCACAGTCAGAATTCATTTTACAGATGGAGTTAAGATTTTTAAGGGTGGATTCAACAGTAAAAGCCTCTTTTTTATGTCAAAAGCAAGCTTGCGTTCATCCTTGGTTAAAATTAAGCACTACTAATGAAGTATGGTGGAATAGACCAAGTGTGAACAGAAGAAATAGAAAGAGCATGTTTAGCTAGCAAATGAGCCGCTTGGTTACCCCAACGGCCACCAAACTGAACTGAGGAATGGGAGATTTGTTGAAATAGTTCCTTACAATCTGCAATGACTGAGTGAATCCGTCAAGGGACCGGGGAGGAAGACCCCAACAGAGAGTTTAACACTTGTAGATCATCTCCTTTAAATGCAACATGATGAAACTGAAATTCAATAGATAACTGGATAGCATTCAGAAGGGTCAAAGCTTCTATCTCTAGGGAAGAGAAGGGGTCATGTTTAATTGATCTTTCCACTATCAAATGGTGGAATCATGAGCTATAAGTCCTGCACCTGTGCAATTTGCATTTGTGGCTCCATCGAAGATTTAAGTTTGTTCAACCGTTTTAAAATCCTCTACATAAATTATTTAAAAACGATGAGAACAACCCTTCTTCAAGTAACTGACATGCAGTCAAATTTAACTTAAAAGGTTGATTCAAGTATTGATACGATAACGCCCCATGTCTGATGTATCATACGTATCTTTTGGTTCCGAAACATCTCTTCTTAGGTTTTTTCAAGAATCCTTTAATTTATTTACAGAGGTGTATCAATACTTTAAATGACTCTGGATCTCCTATGTATAGCCACAAGAGATCTACCCATGCCTACCCACAAAGCATTATCTCCATGCATTGGGAACATCTCCCCTACATAATAACATTTAGGGGGCATTCTTTTTTTGAATTTTGAGATGGGGGAAAGTTGGTTAATAGGATTTTGATAACCACTGACCAAGAAACCCATGTTTATTTTTCAAATTTATGTGGGGACCAACAAAAGTTTACTTTCCTAGGTGATACCCATCTCTTAGGTGGGTAAATTAACTTTCCCATCTAGGAGAAGTTGCCAATACTTGGATGAGACAAAAATGCCCATTTTATGGCTAAGATGGTCATTGCCTTATTTACATTGGAAATTAAAGAACATGGGCAAATGCACTTACCCAGGTAAGTCTTTCCTGGGAAACACTTACCGAGTAAGTGCATTTACCCGAGTAAGTGACTTACCGAAAAACGAACAGGGCATTAAGAGAATGAGATGTTCCTATGTGTGGTGCATTGTCATGTGGTAGAGTTGTTGTGGATAAGTTGTGATTCAGCCCTCCCATACGAGCACCAAGAAACTAGCAAGGCAGCAACTGCAAAAAAAAGTATTTTCTGGCTATAAGATAGTGTCTGCTTGAGAGGGCTTTGACGAATCAGCTTGGGGCCTTACAAGGTGGGCCCTATATAGATAACATATAAGAGTTCGGCTTTTGTCAGGGCAAGTCAGTGCTCGCACCGTTCGAGCAGCCCCTTGCAACCTTGTATTGAAAATATCTCCCATGAAATAAATCACACAAGTATGGAGATATTCCCAATGTAAGGCTGTAAAGGCTGTTGGAATGGGCTTTGCCCTGACCGAAGCCAAACTCAAGCTATGTTTGGTGGAAAACTCTGAAAGTGACAAGGCTCTCCGGGGAAACTTGTTTTAATAGGTTATTCAAAATGATTTAGTGAAAGCAATTAAATCAAAACTTTGAACCTTCCAAACAGGCCTGTATTTTTAAGCTTTTGAGGTTTCGATAAATTACTTGACAGTATATGACAATTATTTAATGTAATCATCTAGTTTCAGAAAATGTCCTTTAACTTTTGGAAAATCACTACCATTAAATTTGACTAAAAGACTCTTTTACTCTCAATCATTTTTCAATTTTTCAAAATGTTTTAGCTCATAAACTAGCTGCATGGAGTTTGAAGTTCAACAGCTATGATGTATGGCTGAACATGCCCTTCTTGTATTAGACCTGTTTTAATGAATTAATCTCATTTTAGTAGCAAAAAAAAAGTGAAGGAAAATATAGGAAAACCTATCCAAGTCCAATGTAACCAACACAGCCTAACAGTTGTGAAATGCCCAAATTTCATTAAAATGACATTGCATTAAGGGGGCGTTCTTTTTTGGGATTTTGAGAGGGGGAAAGTTGGTCCAAGAAACCCATGTTTATGTGGGGACCAAGGAAAGTTTATTTTCCTATGTCTTCTAGGTGGGTAAATAACTTTTCCATACAAGGAGAAAGTTGTCAACACTTGAATGGGACAAAAATGCCCCTTTTAATAATGGATTTTTATGGCTAAAATAGCCATTGCCTTATTTATATAGGAAATAAAAGAACATGGGTAAATGCACTTACCTAGGTAAGCCTTTCCCTAGATAAGTAACTTACCAAAAAGTGAATGGGACCTAAGAAATTTGGATTAAGAAGAGGAGGGTTTCCAGGAGTTGCAATCACCTACAAACAAAATACATTGTAAAACCCTCACAACATGATCGTACACCACACATCTCACAAGCCACCATGAGATAGGGACCCACCATGTATGAAATGTGCAGTGTCTTTCCAATATGGAATTTAACATATGCTTCCCTCCAAACCAATGCCTTCACTTGAAAATCAAGTTTCTAAACATGGGCATTTGAGAATAAATCATTAGAATTATCCTCCTTTTCACGAGTTTGGATTTCCTACCCACAAGGGATCTACGCACACTTGTACGAGAGCATCCACATGTATGAGAGCTGGTTGAAGAAGAAGGCTATGGTCCACAACATTTGAGATAACACAGAATAATGCACTTAACAACAACCCAATAATCTCCTGCAGGAGTATGCATGTGCTGAGAGTTGTTGACAATAAAAGAGATATGGGGCCTTGTAAAAGAGAGATATTGTAAAGATTCGATGATGCTCCTATACTTAGTAGAATCATGAAGTGGTAAACAAGATGTAAAAGGAAAGCTAGTAATGGAAGGCTTCAATGCAAAGAAAAAAACAGTGGGTCCAGATCTTTAATGACAAACTGTTGAGTTATTAAGGTTGCGTTTGGAAATGATGCAAATTAGTGTGAATGCAGATATGTAGAATGTAAAACGGTTCATATAAAATGCAAAATTTGGTTAGTTTTGCATTGACAAATTTACCTTCTTACCGAACAGACTTTTAGCTGTAATGGATGCAAACATAAATTCCAATAAAGCATATGCTTTTTTTTTTTTATCAAAAGACCACTGGAATGCAAATTTACTTCTTTTTTATTGATGTATTTTTACATCTTATTATCAATGTAAATATGCATTGGTCTGTCATTTATCAATACATAAATGTAATGTTGCCAAACACAAGCAAAAGTGAACCAAAGTACAAATTTACCCTGAACCAGAATTTACACTCCATTTGCATTATTTCCAAACGCAGCCTAAGTCAATGAGATCAGTCATGGAATCCAAAGTGTTGCCCATTACAAAAATGCCATCAGTGATATAGGAAGAGACATTGTTGGCATAGATGAACAATTAATGAAGGATTTGTTTTGGATCCATAAAAGCCCAACATCAGGAACATATTAGAAATACGCTGAAACCAAGCCTGTAGGACTTGTTTCAACCCAAAGTGATTTACACAGCAAGCATACATAATCTGGTTGTTTGGGGATACACAAAGTCGTATAGTTGACACATATTTATTGTATTGAGTACCATGCAAGAATGCATTGGAAACATCTAGTTGGCAAGTGGGCCAACATGGGACTTGGCAATGACAAGAACAAGCCGGATTGTAATTGGCTTCACAACAGGATTAAAGGTCTCTTTATAATCCAATAATCCTGTGTTAATGAAAAGCCCTTTGCCACAAGCGGACTTTAAAAACGATCCACAGATCCAATCAGCATTTCATTTCACCTTATAAACCCACTTACACCCAATTACATTTTGAGAATGGGTGAGGAGGTGCAAGTTGCCAAGTACCGTTGTGTATGAGGGCATTTTATTCTTCAACCATAACGGCACACCAAGGTAGGGAGAACTTCATATTTAGTTGTGAAAGGAAAGCCATGCATATTTGCTACAATCATCTAGAGAAAAAGTACATAGTACCTACAGCCACCAAGAAAAGGATAAGGTGAACGACCCCGAGCATCTGAAAATATAAGTTGTAGTGGAGTAATACTTCTATTAGAAACAACAAGAAGAGTGTTTTTTATTGCGGCATTTTTAAATTACGCCACCGATATCAGAGCCGGTATAAGTTTGAGTGGCATTTATCCGAGTTTTAGTGACACTTAAATAAATGCCAATAAAGCTTATTTTCAGTGGCGTTTATCCAAATTTTAGTGATACTTGTATGAACGCCCATAAAAACTATTTTTAGTGGCATTTAGTGGTAGTTTCAAATGCCACTTTTAAATTTAATTATGGCATTTATTGACACATTTAGTGGCAATTCTTAATGTCACTAAATAGCAACCACCATAGAAGGTTACCATAAAAGCTAGCAATAACAATATAATAACATTTATTTTTTTATATAGTGGCATTTTTAAATGTCATTAAACATTTATCTGTATAGTGGCATTTATAATTGCCACTAAAAAGTCTTAATCATTCTATTCATTTAGGATTTAGTGGCATTTACAAGCACCACTAAATGTCTAAACATATTCATACATGCCTGCTAAAAAATAATAAAATGAAGCAACAAAAAAGATGTTGCTTATTATATAATGGTAAATGGACCTGTATCAAAAAATATTAATTTCATCATGCCCTTTAAATCAAATGCATATTATATATTTAATTAAAAAAATCAAATAATTATGAAATTTAACCAAATAAACCATTTTCATATAAAACAAATTTATCATAAAATGTTTATATATACAACTGTCCCTTTCAAGTCATAGATCCATAGTGGATAGTCCAAAAACCAACCAAAAAAAAATCATTTCGCTCTATGATGTCCAAAAGTCTTCATCAAAATCCAAAGTAAATATCTTCAATACCCTCCATGTTAACAATTTCTTGAAAAAACAAATACATCTTGTTAATAAAAACTAGATACAATATTATATATTTGGATTTAATAATAGATGGCTGAGAGATAGATAGATAAATAGAGAGAGATCTTACATAACAGATATTATATCTTTGTTGTAAATGGACTATTTTGTGTGCTTTCACTATTTGTTTTTTCTAGGACAACATACAAGTTTATGGTTGTATCTTTAACAGTTCTCACCTGCTTTAGAGTGGGCAAAACAAGTGAGTAGAAATCTGGAGTAATGCTTGTACTTCGAGATTTTTTCTCTAACATTTCTAGCGATTCTTGAGAATCACTAGAACTTGGATTTAACATATTAATTCCCCAAGAACTTCCTCTAGACTAAAAACTAAAAACCAAATCTCATAACAACAGTAGTAGGATCAAGCCAATTGGCATCTATTAAATTTCTGTTCCATATTCCAAATTTCTGTTCCATACAAGTTGTCCATATTTCAAATTTCTGTTCCATCGAAGTCCTCCTGTTCAGACCATGAGAGAGGGATGTCGTGGTCAACCTAGACTAGGGGTGTCAATTGGACTGGATTTGGTCCAATCCAATTCAGTCCAATGTGAGTCCATTATAAATGGATCAGGTCTAATTCAATCCAATGAATGTTTTGGACCAGTCCAATTCAATGTCTGGACCGTCCAATCTGTTCAAATTCACTTTTGATTTAGATTGGTTTCAACCCAACCCGGTCCATTGACACATATATTCTTATCATATATCAATGGACTAGATATTGGCTTAATCCAACCCAATCCAATATAAATTTGTTATGGACGGACCAGGTCCAATCCAATCTAATAAATATTTTGGATCAGATTGGTCCAATCTAATATGTCTTATTGGTCCGTCCAATCCGCCCAAATTGATTTTAACCGGTCCATTGACACCCTTAACCTAAACCATTCATGAGAGGACCCGATCTAGTAGATACACCCTTGTGAGCACACACCTCTTAGTGTTCTACGTCTAAATTAACCAACATGCACCTAGCCCAATCAGTTCATAGTCTGTTAAAAAAATAAAAACCTATTCAAGGACCTCACCTAACAGCTTATTAAGCTTTTAGGTTGAATGGTACCTTGACCAGATGGTCTAGTTTGATCCTCGCTGTTAGGTTAACAAAGCCAAACATAGATTCAAATTCAAAGATCCGATCAGATCTCACAAACACAGGATAAGAAGCCAATAGGATAACAAAGCCAAACTATCCATATTTGAAAATCTTTCATATGACAATATGAGCTATGGGACGGTGTTATATTCGCCAAACCAATGATCTTCTAGTCAAGAAACTGTGGGTTTCACCATGATACTAATATGGTGAGAAAGTCTATTAAATCTTAAAAAAACAATTAATTATGAAAAGTTTGGCAATTTTCATTCAAAACAAGAAGATTTCTTATGTACTCAAAATGAAAATCTATGGGCAAGGAATTGTCTAAGTTAACTCTGATTATGCATTTATCCATCAAATGTTAGAAGAAGACAAGAAAATGTATAATTAAGACAAGCAAGTACAAGTAGCAGTACAGGATTAAATGTTTCAACTGTCATGTGCTATAAAGATGCTAATCTCCAAGATGCCTTGTTAGGAATCATCATTTGCAGATCAAATGGGCTAGACTCATCATTCAAATTACACATTATAGCCATTAATTGGCCCAACAATTCCTGATTTTGGGACTCCAAAGTCCAAAACAGTTCATAATTTGTAAATTTAGATCTTTGGAACAACAAAACCACATCTAAGCTCAGTTTGGAAAGAGTACAAATGCAAATATGTACAGCGTAAATACATACAAAATATAAGGTTTTGCACTCTACATATTTGTATTTGTACTCCTTCCAAACTCAGCCCTACTGTTAATGTCTACGGGGTGAGTCATAAATGATAAATTGGGTCACTTTGTTATTATTATTATGCTTTGAATCATGTTCCAGAGGCTTGAACATCTTGACAAAGCAACAAGATTAGCAACTAGTACTCTTTAACACATAACAAATGGTTTTGGATCTCAAATAAGATTGCTCTGCACTTGTGTTTGTAGAGTAAGTATTTAGGGCTTCAGCACTTCAAGGTATCAAGTGCACCACACTAGACTAACAGTGGATGGAGATTCGCTCTTAATGGGATGCTTCTTTCTCCTTCCTGATATTTTTTAATGCAACTCTCCAGTCTTTTGTAGCTTTTTGTTCACTGTATAGGGTAGAATTGTTTTTAAGGATCCATCATGCAATAAAGCATCTCCTGATATGACCAAGGTTGGATATCCAGCATTCTCCATTCATTCATTTTTTTTCTGGGAAGAGAAAAGTATAAACTTTAAAATGATTATGAGAGGGCCCCTGTATTAGGATGGGTGTGGGTGACACCTCCTATATACAAGGCTACCACCCCCAATGCTTACAAAGGGGGAACATGGCCCCTAGCTCTGACCTTGGATATGTCCAAGAATGATGAGAATCTAGACATTGTTGTTATCCATCAAGACAATCGTCAAGATCTAGGTAGTACCATGTATCTCCTAGCAATTGCATTGTATTGAAGGGCATTGACTAAATCATATATATATATATGCAATGACGACTAGAGAAGAAAGGAGCTGTTGAAGTTTGACCTGCCATAGAACTCTGTCTTGTTCGTTGACTGTAGAGTAAAGTAGACAGCAAGAAGTAGGAGAGGAAAGAAGAAAAGAGAGAAGAGAGAGAAGAGAGAAAGGCTGGTTCGAATTAGGGAAAAAAGTTAATCCCTTGATTCGGCCAGACCTGTTATTATATTATT